GGGGGGGGGGGGGGGGGGGGGTATAAACCCTGAAACAGTAGTCTATTGGGTTGACAGGTATGGCTCCCTAACCCTAAAACCGAAAACTCTAAAATCTAAAACTCTGACTAAAGCCTTGAACCTAAAACTAGAATCCTAAACCCTTTCTTAGCCTAACCATACCTTCTTCCACTCAAGCAGGTATGACTCACAAGACTAAACCCTGAACCCCTAAACCCTTCCTTGGCCTAACCATGCCTGCTTCCACCGCTACACATGGGCACACCCGACTACTGTTGGGTTATCAGAACCCTTGCGAAAGCCATGACACGTGAGGTACTCGCCGACGAAGGGGAAACGAAAAAGGAGAGTGGCAATTCCAACCTCGCCCAGCGGTTTAGGATTTAGGTTCGGGTGCATCCCTACTTAAACCCCCCCAAGCCCGACATTTCGGTGTTTCGGGAGTCAATTTGTCGGGGATCCATTTGACAAGGGCCCTGGAATGCTCAGGATTTTGAGGTGAAGGGCCTTGGGTCGGCCCGAAAAAGCCTTGGGACGCAACAACTAAGGCTACCGAGCTTTGACCTCCCCTGCTTACGTAAGACCAGAAGATGAAGCCTGACGTAGGGAGCCTAGGCCTATACAACTTCGCTATGGGGTTCTGGGGTGCGGTTTAGTATGTTTCTGTAGGGCCTGTAGGGTCTATATATATATATATGTACGGGAAAGATATTCCTAATCATTCAGGCCAAGATAATCAGTCGAAAGCTTCAAAGGACAGTTTCCGAGCCGATTGACAGTAGCTTTCTGGGCTTCCCGGCAGTTCACGAATCGCGTTTGGGCTACACCCTCAACCCTAATTACTGCCATCAAAGCCCCCTCCCCCTTCAACGGGCTCAGGCCGTGGCAAACCATCCACGCGGACCCGGGCAGTCTTCCGTGGTGGATTGCGCCGCCCTCTCGGATGAGGGCAAAATGAGGGAACCCCTGGAGACCAGTTGCCCAGTTGATTAGGTAGGGGTAGGGTTAAGGGTTTAGGGCTCAGCGTTTAGAGATTTTTTACAAGGGTTAAAGCTCTTTGACCGAACACTGCCCAAAACTCTGTAACCTACTAGAAAAGCAACTGGGCTCTTAGAGGGAGTTCCCTTGGTGGTTCAAGGTTGAGGCACGCAGGTCTTGAGCCTCATGGGTAGTTCTTCAAAAATAAATGTCCCTTTTTCGGTCCCCACTATCCTGCGGCACCCTAAAAACCTCAACCAGATCGAAAAAAACACAAATTTCCAATGTACGAATACTGTATAGAACCCGAAATAAAGCTCAAACCTTGAGTCCCTTGAACCCTACACCCTAACCCTCAAACCCAAATAAGGCGCTGATTTTTCTGAGAAAGCGTGACAGGCTGGCTACCTTTAGCATCCAAGCCGCATCTTGCCGGTGAGCCACGGCTTAGGTTGGCTGCAACGCATACAAAGCATGACACGAGTCCCAATGTAGAACCCTGAAAAAAGGACGAATGGCAAGGATTGGGCTCCTTTTGGGGCAGAGCCAAGATGCATCTTGCTCGTGAAGAAGGCCGCGCAGAAAGTCAGCGCACCATGAGGATGCCAACAGGTGAGATACCTCGGTTTAGCGGCTTTGAGGGGTTTTGGGGGGCGGCTTTGAGCGAGCTCTCGTTTTGCCGTGTGGGTGCATGCTTGTCGTCTTGCGTCTTTCTTGCCGAAAGGGACTTGATAATAAACCCACCGCCTGCTTGTCTGTGCCTTTTTTTCTGACTGAACGGAAAAGCAATAACTACTGCAAGCCAGGACAAGTTCGCATTTTCCTCCCCATAGTCTCAAAAATTGAACACCCAAAGCCCGTGTGATCGTGACAGCAATGCAACCCAAAACCTGAAACCAGAAGCCGTAAAAGGATCTCCTCAACAATCCTAATGTCCATCTAATGTCCCAAGGCTTTGAGTGCCTGCACAGTATATAGTGGATAGCCTGGCCCTTCCTAGAAGTATACACTGTAATGGAAAGCTTCTAGAGCCCTTCGGGAATGTTGCTGATGTGTTGAAGCATCTCGTCCGGCATAACATCGCGTGAGCATTTCGACAACCCTCGACTTCAAGCATCGTGTCTGGGGTTTAGGGAGGTACTACATGTACTACATAGCCGCAGCTGTGTCTTAAGGGCAGAACCTGATGGCCAACGAAGCCTTCACCTCAAACTCCAAACCATGCAGACCTGAAGCCCAAGCCTAAATGCCTGCAGCAATCAAGGCCTAAGCCCCAGCGATGCAAAATCGAAGCCCTGCATCCTACATCTTATGCTCTACAAGGACATGAACAGGTGAAACCCGAAGAGCCTGTAACATGCCACAGGGGTTTAGGGTTTAGGCTAACAGAGCCTAAACAGAGCCTAGGGTTTTGGGTTTAGGGACATCCCCAAAAGGATCCAAACGATAAAGGCAAATGCAGTATTCATGAGTTGAGATAGTTCCCCTAGCACCCGACCTGGCCCTGGAGCATAAATGCTACTTAACTGCTTATAAGCGCTACGCCTACACTCCCAACCCTTAACCCAAAAGCCCTCATAAAGCTTAGATGTTAGGGAGAAGCCGGAGGTAACCCTCTAACCCCTTGTAGTCGATATTTAACTCGGCCGTTGGCCGATGTTTCGTTATGACTTTCTCGTCCTTCTGGCCTTCATACAAAAACCGACCTGAGAAGCCCGAAAGTTGTCGACTGCAACCTGTACAAAACTCTCGAACGGCTTACTAAAACCCTAACCCCCCCAGGTACCTACTATATAGGGTACTAGAGCCCCTAGGGCCCTATATAGTAGGTGCCTGGGGGATTAGGGAAACATAAACATCCCACACATCCAAAGCCTCATAAATCCCACTGCTAGGTTCATCACTCCCTACACGACCCCATAAACCACCCAAAACCCTAAACCCCAAACCCTAAACCCTAAACCCCACCCGAAAAAACCGAGAAAGGCCCGTCAACTCAAGGCAGCCCGGCAGCTGCCGATTCGGATCAAGGCCTGAGAACTCTTCAACATTAGGGCCTTAGGGTGTACCTGGACCCAAAAAGTATGTAGAATAATAGACTGTTAGGGGTTTTTGGGCCATTATTTTGCCGACTTTTGGGGGTTTAGGTAGGGCTTAGAGTTTAGGATTCAGGACTCCTTAAGGGTTCAGGAGGGCTGCTAGGACCACTCTCGCATACAACATCTTGCTAGAACAGACAGTAGCAGAACGGTGAGTTATGCCGGTACCATTCAGAGATTACGCTTAGGGTGCAGGGAGGGTGTGGACCATTGGCGCCTTTGGGGGGTGCCTCATGTAATAATTAGAATAGGATTCCTTTAAAGGGATCCTTGAAGGGTTCTTTAAGAGATTCTATCATAAGGCTCTAAATTAGAGGCCTTAATAATTAGAATAGGGTTTCGGGGGTCTATTATGCTATTAAACTCCAAACCACAAACCAAACAAGCCCAAGCTCAAACCCCCACACCAAAGCAAGCAAGCCCTAAACACAAAATCCCCTCAATCCCTGGGCCCGATAGCCTGCCCTTTCAAGGATTATACTAATGGAAATCCCTAATAGGGTTAGGGTTCAGGGTGGGTTTAGGGTATAGGGCTAAAACGCACGAAGCTAATAAAGTCAGCTCTACTTAGGGGCTGAGTACCCTAGCCCAAAAAAGGTTAACCTTTCAACTATGGTAGCATGATATAAGCCCGAAAAGGTTAAAGCTTACCTACCCAGCTACCCAAAAGCCCTAAACCCTAAACCCTGGACCCTAAACCCTAAACCCTAGACCCTAAACCCTAAGCAGGGGTCAGGTAGCAGCATCCTCGAGGGATCGAAAGGTCAAGGGCTCAGCGACTGGAGGGTTCCGGGGCATCCTGGGCTTCGGGGGTTTGGAGCCAAGGTTTAGGGTTTAGGGTTTATAGGGTTTAGGGTTTAGAGGGTTGAGGGTTTACAGGGTCTAGGGCTCATAGGGATCAGGGTTTAGGGTTTAAAGGGTTTGGTTTCATCCTGACGAGTAGCGCTGCTGAGGATCATGATGCCACTTCTCTGCCTGGGCACTCAATGTTCAACTTTCGACCGAACACTACACCTAAATACAGGGGCCTACTGTAGTGACTTCGGTCTATCATAGTGTAGCTGTATTCAAGAACCCCGAGGGGTGGCAGGGTTTACGGCCTATGTCTCAAGGTTGACGGTTCCTTCATGCAGGGGCTTTAAACCCGAAGCCCTAAACCCCGAACCCTAAACCCTAAATCCTACAGCCCTTCACGACCAACGACCGGAGCCTACACCCGAATAGGTCATTCAAGGTGCGAAGCAATTAGGTGCTGGGGTTGCCTAAACCGTGGTTCAGGGACTTAGGGAGTTTGGCATAGTAAGTGTAGGTCGGGCTGTAGGTTGGGCCTTCAGCGCGGATCTTCATGTGTATCCGGCACAGGGTACGATTTTGGGACCACTTGCTCCCGAGGTCTGCCGAGAAAGCCACTAGTACTACGAGGGAAGAAGTGAGAGAGAGGGAGAGAGAGAGACAGACAAAGGGAGAGGGAGAAGTAGCACTTAGCGGCATTAACTAATGGCCACCGGCAGTAGACACAGTTAAACCTGCACAGACACAATGACAAAGTAGAATGTTGTTGAAACTTAACCGATTGGGTGTTTACAGCTTCTATCCGTACGCCCAAAGCAAAAGCCATGATCCCAGAATGTTACGCGGCGTGGGCCCAGACATGCAACCCTTGCAGACGCCAACCAAGCCACGGTATTTGTCTCGAAGTCGACGCCGACAAGGTTGGCTACACGACCTCGCCATGCATGTCGCAGGATGATAAGGCTTTGAGACCAATGGCTTAATTAAACGCCATGAGGCCCTACCTGTAGGCGCCGTTGTAGCTCCTTCTTTAAGGTTAACCAGTTCTATAAGTAGGATCCTATAAAGTTAGCCAAAAAGGAATTACAATCGGGACTATAGGTATTCCAAACGAAACCCTAAACCCTAAACCCTGCCCTTGGGTCTAATTAGGATCCTATAAAGGCAACCCAAAACGGGAACTACAATGGGGACTACCGGTAAACCCTTAACCCTAAACCCTACAAGGTAACCCAAAAAAAGAATTACAATGGGGACTATCGGCAAACCCTAAACCCTAAACCCTATAAGGTAACCCCAAAAAGGGAATTACAATGGGGACTACCGGTAAACCCTAATGGCAAACGGCTGACACGTAAGAGGTGAGCGACGGAGAGAAGGAGACCGACGTCTCTTGCTCTTCTTCCATGCGCTTAAGGTACGCGGTAAGCGTCGCGGCAAACCGCTTGAGGTTGGTACTGCGAGAGCACATTTGGCGCACGGTCATGAAAGGCTCTGCCACTTGGGTCAAAGGGACCCTGTTTGAAGCAAAGCCCGAATGACGAGACGTCCCTCATGAACGCCATGGCGTCCTGTGTGGCATCGGCGGGAATTGCCACGAATTCCGCCCGATTGATCAGCCCACACAACACGATGTACAGCGCAACAGCCCGTGCTGACTCTGGTCCCAACTCTATGGTGTCGAACCGATCGCGAGTCGTGAAAAGGCCTGAAAGCTCCTCCGTCGCAGCCTCCAAGACGATGGCTGTCGTCGGGAATTGCATGGTTGGATAGATGAGTCCGTGAGCGGCTCTGTCCAAGCAGTGGTGCAGTGAATCAACTGCCATGAGTCCTTGGCCAGCCAAGTCTGCCTAAGCCCTATAAGGTACCCAAAAAAGGAATTACACTGGGGACTATCGGTAAACCCTAAACTCCAAACCCTATAAGGTAGCCAAACAAAGGAATTCCAACGGGGACTATCGGTAGTTTACGGGGTGTTTACAAAGCCAGCCGGATTGTTCTCGGTTTCAGGGCGCAGGTTGCGAGCGGCAAAGAGTGGTGAGCTTTCGGCTGCTTGCGAAACAGAAGCCTACATATGAGACATGTGACTAATTATCTAATTGGCCTATAGGGATTATAAGGTTTAAAGGTTTAGGGTTTAAGGTTTAGGGTTTAGGGCTTAGGGCAAAGGGTAAACATGTAATTACTGGTAGATAAGAGCCGTGAACCCCCTAAGAGCTCGAAGAGCCCAAGGACCTTAAAAACCTCAGCTCGGGCCGAAGTGCCGAAAACATGGTACAGTATGTAGGTTTAGGGTTTAGGGTTTAGGGGAGTAGGGGTATAGTTTGGGGTTTAGGCTTTAGTGTAGCAGAAACTCTCACCAGACAGCATCTTGATCTGAAAGCCTTTAACAGCAGGGCCGGAAGATTTCGAAAGGAGTTTCGTGTAAACTATACTGAAGTAGGGGCCAAGTACGCAGACCCCTAATACCGAACCCTAAACCTGCCTGCATCAATCCCTGAACCCGAAGCCCTGCCTAGAAGACTTGCTAGCTACGTGGATCAGTGGGAGCAAAATTCTCTAGCTTGTCCGGTTCGCCAGGGCTTGGCCCTATCTGGGCAGGGGGGGGTCCCCAAGAGGTGGGCACAAATCGAAAAGTCAGGGACCTTTACAGCCTGTGCATCTCACTGCAGCCGAAGGTTTCGCACCTGAAACCCTATAGCACCCTAAAAAAAACCCGGAAGGGATCCCTAATCCCTAAACCCTATAGCACCCCAAATAGAACCCCGAAAGGAACCCCTAAACCCTTTTCCCTAAACCCCATAGCACCCTAATCGAACCCCCTAAATCTAAAGGAACCCTTGGAGAACACCTAGCCTCCCGGCTTTAGAGTCGTAGGGCTTAGGGCTGCAGGGTTTCGCGGAATCCTGAGCCTATGTAACTCCGCACACCCTTTCAAAGGGGCCTTGATAGTCAGAATGGGGTTTCGAGGTACATATAATACGATGTATTTAGTATATAATCTGCCCTAAACCCTAAACCCTAAACCCTACCCTAAACCCTAAACCCCAGGGAGCTCTATGGAATAAGGAATCCTTGGGGCTTCTATATTAACATAAACTCAAGCATGGCACCAAGCTGGATGCTCAACCAAACGGCGAGCCATCTGGGCCCAACAGTGGCAGCGCCTGCGACGAGACGTCGTGCTCAGAGTTTGCGGGAGGTAATATAGAGGCCTTAATAATTAGAATAGGCTTTGGGGGTATATTATGCTATAATTCTAACAAGGAGCCCCCAAAACCCTATTCTACTCATTAAGGCCCCTACATTAGGTCTTAGGGTTTTCGCATTCTGGGGCTTCGCTTGATAACCCAAACCCACCTCAGAGGAGGTTCCTTCAAAACTTAAGGGCTCTATATGAGGGTCCCAAGAAGGGGTTCCTTCAAAGGAATCCATAAAGGAGCCTGCAAAGGAACCCCTACAGGAGCCCTACCCGGGGGTGATCGGCTCTGTTGGGCCTTTGCTCGTCGCCCACTTCAGCGCTGCGGAGCGGAGAGCAATGAGAGCCCCGGCAGTCGCTGTGCCAAGGGCCCTTCAGGGCTTTTTAGGGTTTGGGGTTTAGGTTGAGGGTTTGGGGTTTAGGGTTTGGGGTTTTTAGGGTTGAGGCTTTCGGGCTGGGGCCCTCAGGGCTTTACTAAACCCTAAACCCCAAACCCTATTTAGTTCATGCCATAATATTAGGGCTAATAATGGTTTGAATAGGATTCTTTCAAAGGGCTCCTCTAAAGGGATACGGATATAGGGTCTTAAGAAACCGAGGATAACAGGCTTCCTTTATGCAAGGGGATCCTGTAGAGGGATCCATGAGGGGTAGTACAAGAGACAGCGATAAAGGAGATAATGAAATAAGGAATCCGAAAAATGGTATTAGCAATCCCCTCAAGCTCCTTTACTTTGTGGGACTTGTCTTTTGGGGGTGTCTAGGGTTCGGTGTTTTTTTGACTTTGGCATTTGGAGCTACCAGACTGAAACATTGATCCGGGTCAACCCGAAGCCTATGACGACGAAAGGACTACATCGCTTCGTCCACCACGATATGACAGCGTAGGGTAGTATAGAGTTTCGGGCTTCGGGTTCAAATCTGTAGCCGCTGTAGTCTGAGAAGAACGATCACATCAGCAGCGCTGCCCGATATCGTTCGGGCGGTGGCAGCTTGGATCCCTAAACCCTAAACCCCAAGCCCCACAAACCCTAAAACACTAAACCCTAAAACTCCAAGGGCCCAAGAACCTCCAAGAGCCCAACCCAGGCACGCGGATTACCAGGCCCAGGTCAGCTTGAAACGGAATTCCCTGGCTCTAACCCCCTTTACAACAAGAAAAGGACGAACCTTCAAAGCTAATAAGTACTCTTGGGTTTGGGCTAGAGTGGCTATAGCAGCTCTAAGTAAGCACACCCGCGAGTAAGTGCCCGGCAGGCTGCGCAGCTGCATTTCTGGCATGTTACCGGCTGCAGCCAAGGCGTAAAATGCTTAGGTTCCTGCATGCACGCTTCGAATAACGATGCCTCAAGGGGTGTGCGTCGTCATGTTCCTAGTTGAAACTCGAATTTAACTGGAAATTGAGAAAGAGACCTCTCTCGGTTCCTCTAGAAACCTCTTGCCCGGTCTTAGTCTTGGCTCAAAAGCCTCATAGAAGCCAAATGCCTTAAACGATAAGTCTGTAAGGCCGTAGAGATACAAGCACTGGTCTTGCTATGCCGATACACCATTCCTCTGGGCTCCTACTATATTGATAGTATCATGTA